TATCATATATATATATATATATATATATATATATATATATATATATATATATATATGTGTGTGTATGTATGTTAGAGTGCACAATATCAAGGGATAAATATAAAAGTGGGAATTAAAGGCAACACCCAGAGACGACAGTGTGATTCATGCTTAAACGCTATCGTCAGGCTCTGGGTGTTGACTTCAATGTTATATATATATATATATATATATATATATCCGATGTTTCAGTATCTGGAATGGTTCTAAAAAAAGAAAAACTACAGTACATATTAAATCCGCATTTAATCTCCTTCAAAATAGTCCTCTTCTGAAGCCATAGACTTTATCCAGCGTCGTTTCCAATGATGCGAGCATTCCTCGAACTCCTATTTTAGAATAACGAGCGGCTGCGTTGTCGGTCGATTTCTCTTGGACTTCCTCGACGTCTTCAAATCATGTTCCTTTCAAGAGGTGCAGGTTTGAAGATGAAAAGGACGCTAGGAGGGCGAGATCTGGTGAATATGGTGGTTGTCTTACCTGTTGAATATTGCGCTTGTCCTAAAACTGCTGCACAACACATAGTCACTAATGGAATCTTTGTAGTGTGCTGAGACGACAACGCTCTTCAAACTTATCTTCCGATCATTGCTATAAACGATGGAAGTGAGCAAGAACACTTTATGACTTCAGATTCAGGGTCAATCTGCTCCAAGCGGCTTCCCTTTTGTGTACTTTCGCTCCGTTACTATAGCAGCAGCCCCGATACTTATAGGCCATATTTTTTATATATACTCATGTAAACCGTTTCGATTCAATAGAACAGACAAATTCCTTCTAGCCATTTAGTCAGTTGCTACTGGTGTCGAATAGACTCAGTAAAGTATAAAGATTCTTAACAAAAGCAGAGCTAGAAATCAGAGTACATTTAACTGTCGTTTGCCGTTCTTCTATTTCAGCGTCAGAACAAAGGAAATTACGATCACCATTTGAAATCCATGCTGGCAATAACTGAGATAACAGAATGACAGCTTTTTTCTTTCTTTCAACTTTATTTTTCTAAGAGAACCACCAGTGACAATCTAAAGTCTCCTCGGGTTTCTGCCTATAAATTCGATAATTATCTTAAAACATATCCACCTGAGTGAAGACGTTTTACCAGGAAGAACTGTCTGAAATATTTATACATGTTGATGCTTTAGTACATTTTTAAATCTATTTTATATAAAGACGGTTGTCGAGGATGACCATTATAAAGTACTATTTCAACAGTCAATTGCGATATCAAACAATGCCTGTGTATAACATTTTAATATTTGAGAAATCTTGTCAGAAAAATATGCGTCCCCATATTCAAACCTGTAGATGTAGTTGAATAAAAAAAAATACTGTTTAATTAAAAAAAAAACAGAGCTTTTATTCGAATATGAATATCCATCTAACATAACGTTTAAATAAAATATATATATATATATATATATATAGGCCCGTTAGTACAGGAGGTATGACACTTGCGTCGTATCCGGGTTCGATTCTTGATAATGGATGCGCACTGCTGATGTGTTTCAAATATAGGACGAAACGGCCGTCCAGTGCTTTCTGCATTCTGTTGAGGTTTCTTCTAAACTCGATAAAATACTTAATTAAGATCACTTTTATATTTACGCACGCTCTATCTATGATATTGAGCACTTTAACCCATAAATATAGCACACCTTAAGAGTATTTTTCTTCATATATATGTGTGTGTGTGTGTGTTTGTGTTTAACCGAATGATAGGTAGGTATACGAGCGAGCGACGGTATACAAATAGACATAAATACTCTATATTGAAAGAAAAAACAGCGCTCAATGTTAAATCACAGAGCTATTTAATATATATATATATATCTTACATTAATTTCACAACTCAGAGTTTTATGCCGAAGCAATAGTCAAGCGCTGGAATTATTTTTATGTTTCGTTAAATTCAACCAACATTTTTGGGTGGCTGAACAAAAACAAAATAAAACATGAACGTTGGCCATTTTATCTAACATGTCGATCCCAATTTCATTCGAAATTTAGAAAAATGCAAGAAAAAAATAAAACCGACCTACCTTTTCGTTTAATGTTTGAAGGTTTACATCATAACCACTTCTCTAAGGTGACCCAACCGATACTGACATCAAGAACGGACTGAAATAGATAGATAGATAGATAGATAGATAGATACATAGATAGATAGATAGATATCACTGCTTTACAACTGTTGTCGTGTAACTGGATAAACTATTTAGCATGAATTGGAACATCGCACAGTTAACAAACGCCGTTTAGATCAGCGTTAGAAAAAGAAATTATGCTGAATTATGTAATATCCGTCCTCCTATATGCCAATGAACGCTGGACAATCTCCTCATAGAGGAAGAAGAAACAGAAGGATGCTGAGAATACTATGGACAAAACATGTGAGCAACGGCAAAATTTTACAACAAAAAGAACACTTAATTTAAGAAAGAGGCAGTTGAAGTTTCGAGAAGACATAATGAGGAAAGAGGTCCTGGAAAATTTGATACTCACAGGACAGATTAAAAGCAAGAGGAACAGAGGAAAACAAACGCGTAAACTACCTTTTGTGCATAGATGGCAAAACAGGGTTTAGGAGAAATTACAATAAGAGAAAATTTACTAAGAGATGCAAAGAACAGGAAATTGGAGAGAGGCATGGTCGCCTACGCCATGAAGTGACATAGAAGAACAAGAATACTACCTTACTTTCACACTATTCTTGGAAAAGGCACAAATTAATCTCTCCTATATTCACCTATGGGTTAAATAGCTTTTGTAATGTCAACGAACACTCGTTGCCACTTTTGTGATGTCAACGAATAATCGTTGTCACTTTCGTAATGCTCGCTGTAGTAGAGACTTTGTAATCGCAGATGCAACTATAGTAACACCTTTGAATAATACTGGTGTCAGACGCCTTCGAATGTCACTCGCACTAATAGTACTTGCTGGATAATACTCGCTCGAATAGTAATCCGTATAGTGGTCCGAAAAAAGAAATAATATAGTGAATAGAAAATAGCGGTCCGTTTAGTAATAGAGGATAGATTAGAATAGATTGGAGATCATTTAGATGTCACGCGACTTCCAACTTATGCGTTTTCTCTATGGTCACGTGGTCTACTTAATTCAATAATGGGATCGCCTGTTTTTGTTTATTGTCGATCTATGTTCAAACTCAAGTGTCAGCAGCGACACTTTATTCTTACTAGCTGTTTAGACTCAGCTCTCTGACGACAACCGATCTAAGAGACTAAATACTTTTAATTCTAAACAATGTAGAAGGCAACTGGAAACTCTTCATGTGTCTCTCCCAAGATTTAATGATTATTCGCTGTTAATAAAAAAGGGATATTGTGGAGAGCCATGATTGTTCACATTCTAAGGGACACGGAATTGAAGGAGAAATTGTTTTGTTTCTTCGATCTCGATTCTCTCAACATAGTCTCAGTAAATTTACAAGATGTCTGTTCCATTCGCCTCTCTACTTTAAACTTTTTTCGCTTAAAATTTCTTCATCTTATTCCAATCTTATCGTTCTATTCCTGAAAAACTCTTTCCTTCTCTTCTTTCCGTTACATTCATTTATGAGATGACTTTCACGACAAACAAAATGTGACCCCGATACCAGCACCCGGAGCAAGCGTAAATCGACTGTTGTTCTTCAAAGCAAGTGGCCCACCTCTCAGGATATTGACATACAGTAATATTGTAACCTTTCATCTCTGCGCTCCTGCCGTATAATAGCGCTACACAAAATTAAAATTGCAAATGCGTTCGATCTTTTCTTTGTTCTTCGCACATATGGAAGACAAAGAAGACCTATCAACGTATATACTCGTGTATAAATCGACTTCATGTATAGTCCGCCCACTGAATTTTTTGGGCATGGGATTTAAACCCTCCAAAGTAAATAACCGTATATCGTACAAACGACCACCGAAAATTTTCTAAGCGTAGATTAGAAGTTGCACATGGTCGAAAGTATGGGGCACGCAGTGAGGATCATACTCACTCTTCAGTTGTAACTGATCTAGTGGGACAGGCTTGCTAAGAATTATACCACATTGATGTACCCAAATGATTTTCTAAGGGTAGCTTAGATGTGGTACAAGGCCAAAAGTAGGGAACACTCAAGGAGAATCGAACTTAATAGACCTACCGAGACAAGCTTGTTTACCATTGTACCACGTCGGAGTGCCCACCCAGTCACCAATTAAGCAGGGCCTTTAATCTCTTTAAAAAAGATAAGTGTATAGCGTGAGCCTCTATATTTTGCGTATAACTAATCATCAAATCTCGTACTGTACACGAGTATATACGGCATTCAGTTATTATATTGTTTAAACCGGCCTTTTGAACAGGAGTAGAGGTTTGTCCCTTGTTTACTGTATACGATTGGGTTTCCGGTTCCTTCTAAAGTCTGCTTTAACTCTATACATCTAACGACTCCGCCTAAAACTCTGAACTTTTATTTACTATTTAATAACATTTTTCCAAGTAGTTATGTTTGCCTATCGCCCGGTTCACACTCCTCCCCTGTCTTGTGAAATGGAGAAGAGGTTATCTTTTGTTTTCGGTTTCTTCTAAAGTTTAGTTCAACACTATATAGTAAGACGTCCGGTTCATATTGCTCCTCGATCTTTTGAACAAAAGTAAAGAATTATCCCTTGTTTCCTGTTTAGGCCTGGGTTTCATGTTCCTTCCAAAGTCTTTTCCTATATATATATGAATTCCTTATTCCTTCTCCAACCCAAAATACATGAACATTAAAAAATTTTAAATTGAAAGAAAAAGTTCAAATTAAAATCTTCTATTATTTATTTATATAAATATATGAATAAATAATTCTTGAAATTCAAATGAATTCGATCCTCATTTGGTGCTCCATATTTGCGGCCTTCTGCTCACCTAAGCTGGGATGGTTAAATATCTGTATATGTGTGTGCGCGTGCATAGATAAAAAAAAA